CACTTTAATCATGCTCTCTGCTCTGCTTTATTGTCACTGTTCATAGATTCTAGGCTTAATGGCATAGTCATTATAATGATTGGGTTTAATGTACCCAAGACTTTCGGTCTGAAAACAGTAAGTTCCAGCTTTGTGTCACTGTTCAGACAATGGGGAGATGACTCACTGCTCTGAGCAAACATGTCGAACAGCAAACAATCACAACAAACAGCTAATCATGGCATGAATAATCATGAAAGGATGCTCTTGGTGTTGAATCCACAGACCTGTAGTTTTAGATTTGCTGTGGAGTGACTCATAAGACAATTCTGGCATCTGCAAATGTGAAGTAGTAAACCAGAAACTTATTTGTAGTTTTTAAAATAAGTGTCTTTGAGATCTGTTGTTTGCCTTCTGCATAGATCATCATTATAATTCCTCCCCACTGCTGCTATTTTAGCTCCGGCTATGAAGTGCTGGCTTTATCGGCAAACTCAGATTGCAAACACTGAATATTTATTCTGTGGCAAGGCCATGACTTGGGGACACTAAGCCATACATTTTAGATCAGGCTTGGATTGGTTCAGTGAATACCAATTTGATTTACTTTAGGAATATTCAGACCGGCAAGATGTTTTTTGCTGTATCAGATGTAATGTATAGCAGTTTGGCTGTTTGTAGACCAAAGCATTTTTTTGAGGATGCAGTGGGTGTCCAACAGAACCTTAAGGTATGTAGATGAAGGCAGACTGATAAAAATTCCTTAGATATGTTTTTTTGTTGAGTCTCTACACAGACACCTAACTTCAACGGGCCACCTGCTGGGAAAGATCCATTTTGGGGGGCTAAGTCCCATTAGCAGATGTCAGGGCGGCAGTAAAAGCATCATTGCCCTAGGCAGTCCATGAGTCCTACAAGAAACTTGACTTTTGAGAAAAGGAAGTACTCAGATGAATGTATGATGGTAGGCACTAGGCAGGAGTGAAATGGCCATAGGGAACACTAGGACTATTTCAGATGGGCTCTTGTTGGCCGAATGTCCATTTTAATGTTAATTTTACATATACAAAGCAAATATAAAGGGATGAAAAAGGGGAGGGTCCATATAGGCCCATTTTAAAGTGAAGCGAAGTGATGTGTGGCCAAGTATGGTGTCCCATACTCAGAATTTGTGCTCTGCATTTATCTGCATTTATTTGTGCTCCCATCCAAGTGCACACACACAGTAGTGAACACACACACCGTGAAGACACACCCGGAGCAGTGGGCAGCCAATGCTGTGGCACCCGAGGAGCAGTTGGGGGTTCGGTGTCTTGCTCTAGGGCAGGGGTAGGCAAGTTCGGTCCTAGAGAGCCGCAGTCCTGCAGAGTTCAGCTCCAACCCTAATCAGACACACCTGAACAAGCTAATCTAAGTCTTCAGGATTACTAAGGCTATAGGTTTATAGGTATAAGTTTTTTTTCCAGGGTTGGAGCTGAACTCTGCAGGACTGCTGCTCTCTAGGACCGAACTTGCCTACCCCGCCTAGGGTCTCACCTCAGTCGTGGTATTGAAGGTGGAGAGAGCGCTGGTTATTCACTCCCCCCACCAACAATTCCTGCCGGACCTGAGACTCCTCACAAGTCCGATTCTCAATCCATTAGGCCACGACTGCCCCCATTTAAACTACAATGATGGCAGCATCTCCCTTCACAAATTAATAGAAATGTTTAGTGGAGGTGATGTAGTATACATTTTCAGGCTCACTCTGTTTCTATGTGTAGAATTTGTCACCGTCAGAAAGCACTCAGCCATGTGTCCTCATTCCAGCTGGACGAGCTGTCATGATTGTCCTTAGCTCTGACGTTTGAAATGGACACAGAAAAACAAGGGGTTTTAACAGAAAAGTGTTGGAGCAAGAGGCATGTTTCACTGTAGGAAGGTGTGAACCTGAGAAATACATAAAGATCTTGTCAAAATGAAAATGTTGTGTAATTTTGTTAATTAAAGGGTTGCTTTTGCAATATTAAAACATCAGTTAAAAAAAACAACGTTTTATTTTAAGTGTGCTGCATGCAAATTTAATTTTTAAATAATATAGTTAAAATCAGTAGGCCTATTTTAAAGTGTTACTTTTGCAGTATTAAACAATAAATAAAAAATGTATAAGTAATAAAAAATAAAATAACTTTTTGTTTTAAACAATATTTTTTATTTTAAATATACTTTATTATTATTTTTTTTTTATATATAATCATTTTAAATAATATTGGTAAAATTAATATATTTAGCAAGTTTGAATTATGTGACATGGGATAGTGGGGAATTATTGCACTGTTGTCTCAGACTATCCCTGATGATAGGGTATGGTAGATGGACTACAAAGAAATGTGTTTGAGTGAAATCAAAACATAACAGAGAACTCGCTGTAAATTTGTGCATTGATGCATTGATTGATTTGTGTGTTCCTTGACAAACAGCCCTCTCATATTCATGCATACAGTACATCTACTGCAGCATGAGGAAAATCCTGTCAGTTACATCCTGGCAGCCAGCACATTATACCGTGCTAAGTAGAGTGAGGTTGAAAAGACTGTGACAACACACCGAAGCAGTGCTGATAAAACAAGCATTTGAGTGCAGTCAGGTGGCAATCAGAGTCTTGTTTGGTGTAATTAAGAAATTTCTCTGATGAAAGCCCCTTTCTCTCTTTTTTAAACCTCTACAAACAACTGCTGGGATGCTTCCAGGGGGCCATTCTCATCACAAACAGCACATCTGTGCTGACGCTTCGTGGTTCTCAGCTTCGCCTGCAGACGTACCGGGAACTGCAGAGCAGCTGCGATTGCCATTACTTGGGCCAGGAAAAAGATCTGCAATTGCCAATTACTGGGCTGGGGGGGTGGTATGCTGCACAGTGAAGGAAACAATCCCGCACACTCAAAGCAGATATGAGGGCCGGATGGCGAATGGTGCAAAACAGCTGCTACCCTGCGCACTTTTGTCAATTTAGCCGCTAGACAATTTGAGTCACGTGTCCCTGTTTTATTAGGCCCGAATCTGAGCCGTGCATCAGCAGGTGACACATCAGGGCGAGGGAGCGGTGAATATGACAGTGTAGAGTAGCTTTTCAGGCTGTCAGAGGAATATAGTGTCAGAATAAATCAGAATTTGTTGCCAATTGAAAACACACAGCCATGCATCCTCACATTGGTTGGACAGGGCTGTTATGATTCTTCTCAGTTGTAAAACGGACACAGAAAAACAAAATATATCCATATGTGTACCTACACTCACCCTCATGTCTTTTTAAAATTGAATGAGCTTCTTTCTTCTGTAGAACATAGAAGATATTTTGGGATATTTCTCAGTGTTTTCTTGTTTTCAATACAGTGAAAATGGAAAAATGGGCACCAAAACTGCTTGGCCACCAACATTCTTTAAAATGTATTATTTTTGTGTTTTAAAGAAGACAGAAAGTCATAAAGATTTAGAAGCATGCATATTACTAGCCTATTGGCTGTTTATTAATACTTTATAATAATGCATGAACATATTTTAGATCCTCCAGTCCTACCCCATACCTAAAGTACCTTACTAACTATTAATAGAAGTCATAGTTAATAGTGAGAATTGGTCCACAAACTTTCATTTTTGAGTTAACTGTTACCTTAACTTAAAAATAATGTTGATACTAGGGATGGGCGATATCTTATAATTTGCGATATACCGGTAAAAATTCTCCCCACGATAAGAATTAGACTTACCGCCATAATAACGTTAAAGTCTAGTTGTTGACATATTTCTGTGTGCGACATCGCGGAAGGCAGACGTGAAATTGAGGAGGAGTAGCCTATATCGCTAAATGGAGCTCGAGCTCCTTTTACAATCTGTAACTGGTTTGGTTAGGGCTGTACAGTGCACAAAAAATCGGTCTGAATAAATGTACTACAGTAGCACGTGTGCGATACAGTTTTGCATGTGTATGAGCCTGTTTACAAAACTGTTGTCCAGCAAAGATATACTTTATTGACATGCTTTTTCTCCAAATTAACTTAATAGTCGAGTGTTTGAAATACTTCTTTTTGTGACCAGATGTGGTTTCATATTACAGAATGATAGTATTATATACAGTGATAAAGGCCATGTCGATTAACATTGCATTATAAATATACTTTCCTTATAAAAATACCCAAGATTGAAGAACACAGATAAACCATATATTTTGTGCAATCGTATGTTTATTTTCCTCAAGTTTCATCAGTTAAAATGTCTCAATCTCCGTTGTGCGTTTTATTCAGCGATAACTGGATACCTTCCTGGAGCGCGTGCGTCGTCAGTAGTATTACTTCAGCTATGGATATGTGGAGTTTCTGTGCAAGAGCGCCCTCCGGCTTCCAGTGCTTTTTCACTTTTTCAACTTTAGTTAGTCTGTAATGTTGCTGTTTGAGCATAAAAAAGATCTGCAAAGTTATAAAGCTCAAAGTCCACTTCAAAAGGAGATATTTTATTTAACAGAAATGTAACTTTTCAAAAACTACAACTAATGATTCGTTTGGACTACAATGCATATTTTCCAGGATTTGTGATATCACAAATACAGACGAGTGAGAGGAGACCTGGTTGAGCTGCACTAGAGAAGGGCCTTCATTTGATACAGGAACTATTTGAGCCGTTCATGCCAGACTGGGGAGAGCGGTGTTGTAATAATGTAAAATATGTGAAAAATAACGTGTTTTTCGAACAACCTAGCATGAGAGCCTGTTCTAGTACACCCCCAAAACAAAATCAAGACTTTGTAAAAGAGCATAATAGCACCCCTTCAATCCTCACAACACCCTATTTTGGGTAAAAATAGGAAAGATAATACTTTTCTCTAAAGAAACAGGATTCCCTGAATTATCGTCATTGATATTGTTATCGCAATAAATACCAGAGATATCGTGATATATTTTTAAGCCCATATCGCCCATCCCTAGTTGATACTCATCTCAGAATCAGCCTATTTTTTGTGAGTCATCTGGGTTTTTGTTTTTCCCCAGGAGCTGAAAGGCCTCTGTCTCTTGTCTGGGTGTGGTTGCAGTAGGAAGATGAGGATTCTATTGTGTCTGCTGTCTCTCAGCTCTCTGGCTCTGAGCTACACATTGGGTAAGTATGATCTGATCTGATGTCTCCCATCATCTCAATTCATTCAAGATCTCATTTGCAAATATACTTAGGAGGTCTCACTCAGCCCTTCCCCCATTAGTGAAACTTTGTTACCACTCACCCTTTGTTTTGTTTTTTTCTATATTCCCTCTGCTCCAGCATTTCCTTGTTGAAACATAATTGAAATGTACATTGTCACTTTGATGGTGTCTGGGATGTGTGGTTTTAGGCTTGTGCATCAGTGGGGGGCCACAAATTCAGATTAATTATTCATTGTGTTATCTTAGATCAGTGGGCAGAAGGGATTTGATTTACTTGAGAGGTGTTTTAGACGGCTGAAGTAATCCAGGCCCCATTAAACATTGATAAAAATGTGCTTTTGTCCATAATGCTATTAACTTGGCAAATGGCACTCTGGTCAAAGTTGTACTAGTCTCACAGGCATAAAATCTGGTCCACTTGGCACCAAATTCTGGTCAGGAGCCACCATCTGAGTAACATAATTTGTTTTATTTTTACATGCCATTTAGGGGAAGATTTATCTAAAATTGTTGATTCCACAAAAAATAGACTGTGAAAAGTCAAAAATGTAAATAACACTTGGCAGGGGCGGTTCTAGACCCTTTTTAGGTGGGCTTCAGCCACCCTATTTGTTGTTTTAACCCCCTCTAAAACTAGAAATGTTTGTGGACTTTGTAATCAGAATTCAAGTTTATACAAAAATTATAAGTACCAACTACTTCACAGGTATTTGTTCTTCAGCAAATCTGCTCACTTCTTCAACTTTCTACCTACTTTTAAATCAGACTTTGTTTCCAGACAGATAGGTGCAGCCAGCCAATCAGAGTACCGTTTCTGCCCAATGTTTCCTAGACCTACATCATTGTTTGCTCATTTATTTGATCATGACAATTTAACTTTACTGTTTTAATATATTTTAAAATGTAATTTAGTGCTGTCATGGCAAAGATGAATTTTCAGCAGCCATTACTCCAGTCTTTTAGTGTCACATAATCCTTCAGAAATCAATATGCTGATTTGGTGCTTAAGAAACATATTTTATTATTATCAATGTTGAAAACAATTGTGCTGCTTAATATTTTTGTGGAAACTGTGCTACATTTTTTTCAGGAATCTTTCAGTTAATGTAAAGTTCAAAAGAACAGAATTTATAATCTTTTGTAACATTTATATATGTCTTTGCTGTCAATTTAATGCATCCTTACTGAATATAAGTCTTAATTTCTTTCAAAAATCTGTAATGTGTAAACAGCAAAACATGGACATAGAAAGGAACAAATGGTTTGAGAATATACCTAATTGTCATATTCACTGTACTGAGGAAAATGTCTAGGTTCTGATGTATCATCACAGGCATTCAGATTGAATTGGCTAACAATACAATTACTGTTTCTAGTCTAGTACACAGAAGTAACTACACATAGAGACTGTGAAGAGCTGTTGAGAGTCTTCAGTGGAAAAGAACTTAAGTGGCAGTTTTGAGCTGTTTATCCCCATTACTGGAAGCAGCCATCATGCCACTGAAAACCTCCCGGGGAGCCGGCTCCCCTTCTCAACTCATCTCTCCTCCCCTGCCTCTGTTATTGCCCTAGATTCCTGTGGTCTTACCAGAACTGCATACACACACTGCATACATATACAGAATTCCAATGAATTCTAAATTGCAAATTCCTAAATCAAACAAAAAGTCTGCACATACATAGTGACTGAAAAAAATAAGAATGTTTAAAAATGATATTTTTACTGGAAAACAAGATAATATGCATAAGATAATAAAACCTAATTTTAGAGATATATCTTGAATTCAGTTCATTTTTCTTTTAAAAAATTCTGTTTACTTATTTAATCACTAAATACCAATAGGGAGGAAAAATTTAACTTAATTCAGTACAGTATAATCTCTGAAAACAATATCAATATCTGCAATTTACTTGAAAATGAATGTATCTCGTTTTAGGAATGTTTAGATATTTTTACTGGAAAACACGACAAAAAAAGAATACTGATTCTTTTTTTTTATAGTACTCTAATCCATCACAAATTGCATTATAATACACAGTCTCAAATCCATAAGAAGCACCAATTTATTTGAAAATAAAAAAGCAAAATCCCAGTCGCAGTTGCACACACTGACACAAATGCACACACAGTCCTATATAATCCAAACTCATTCTTGAGTCTTGACCCAATTCATAATGCATCATATGCATTCACGGCTACCTGGAGACTTAACTGTATTCAAACTCCCATGTTCCCCTCTGTTCTGTCAAAATATCTGAGTGCGTGCAATTATATCTGACAGCTTGTATCCCCTGCTGACTTTCCCCAGGTGGAGTACACTCCCACTCTGAGTGCAAATACGCTGGTGTTGTTAGGCACGCACGACCCCCTGTATCTGTCTGTTTGGCACAGTACACTGGCTGTCAATGGAGGCAGTATAAAAGACCTGAGCATGACAAGACTACTTGAGCTAGATTACTCTCATAGATATTTTACTATACCCTTGACTTTCATTTAGTGTGCTGTTGCCTAGTTAATCATCTGGTAACCAGAAAGCTGTTGGTTCAAATCCAGGGGGTCACCATGTTAAAAGGCCATGAATGCTGTTTTTGACTCAAAAGCATTTGGTGACAGTCTTTGTTGAAATGTTTCTCACAGACAGTAACGGTGGGCACATTTTTGTAGGTGGGGATGTGTGTGTGTCGGGTCACGACAGTGGGCCTGTGTTTGAGGAGCAGCCGTCTAGTCTGATTTACCCAGAGGGGATGCCAGAAGGCAAGGTGACCCTGAGCTGCCAGGCTCGCGCCAGCCCTGCTGCTATTTACCGGTACTCAGATCAGGTTTTTGGCACTTACACCTTATCGAACAAAACAGGACCTTTATTCACTATGACCTAACTTTAAACACAAACATTGTAAAAAATATTTTTACCAAAATAAATGATTTCAAATACTATATATTTGAAATAGAAATCTTTTGTAATATTGTAAATGTCTTTATTGTAATTTTGATCAGTTTGATGCATCCTTGCTGAATAAAAGTATTCATTATATATATTACTGACCTGACCCAAACTTTTGATTGATAATGTAATTCTTTAAGATAATAATAATAAATTAAGTTTATTGGATTTTTTCTAGTTATATACATTAACTTCACTAAATTTTGTTGTATTTATGCTTAGAAAAACACTATTTGTCACTGTTGTATGAAAATAAACATTAATATATATTCTTTGAAACGATGTTTTAATATGCAATTTTGCTTCTTAAGCCTTAAAAATCTCTTTATTTAAAGGAGGTTAAAAATATTTTTACAGGAAAACCAAGCAAAAATATATTTTTTTCATACATTATGCATGCTGTCCCACAAAAGGTGTACTACATGTTTGGCTGAATTAAATTAATCATTGATTATGCACTTTTTTGAAGCTAGAATCTGTTGAAGTTAGATCTTGTATGTGATTTCTCACAGGTGGCGTGTGAATGGCACTGAAATAGCATTTGCCGAGGATTCGCACTACACGCAGGTTGCAGGAAACCTTGTGATCAATAACCCTCAGAATGGGCGAGATGGTGGGTCATACCAGTGTCTCGCCATCAACCGCTGTGGCACCATTGTTAGCCGAGTGGCTAACCTCAAATTTGGCTGTGAGTACAAACCAAATGATTTTGTTGTCCAAGTGTGAAAATTAGTCCTTTCTTAATAAAAGCAGCAGTAGTTGAAATTGTACTCTACCAGTACTGATTAATGTTGTGTGCATTCTAGACCTCCATGATTTCCCCCCTGAGAGTAGAAGCCCTCAGACGGTCCATGAAGGTGCAGGAACCTTTCTTGCCTGTCAGCCACCAGCTCATTACCCAGGTATGATTGCACATTATCAGTTAGTGAACCATTTCACTCTGTATTCAGTTTATTTATTTCCTCAAATGTTTATATTACATCTTCCATTCATTTTGTTCCACCAAGCTTTGTCCTACCGCTGGTTCATAAACGAGTTCCCCAACTTCATCCAGCCAGAGGGGGGCAGATGGTTTGTTTCTCAGGTGACGGGTAACTTATACCTTGCTAACGCAAGAGCCAATGACACGGGCAACTATTTCTGCTTCACCACCATCAACATGGACATCAGCACCAAGAGCATCTTCAGCAAAGCTGTCCAGCTCACTGTTTACCCTGATGGTTAGTTCGTTTCCTTCAAAAATAAGAAACATGCTCAAGTACATGCTGCTATCAAAATAACATTTTATATAAAAAAAACACGTCTTACATTTTGTTTTTCCAAAGCAAACCCAAGGAAAGCGGCTCCAAATGTCCGAGTGCGTTTTCCCGCTGAGACGTACGCATTATCGGGACAAACTGCACAGCTGGAATGCTTTGCCTATGGCAAGTAAGTCCCCCTTAGCTCCTCACTTCCCTTCAGAGATCACTGCGACATCGGTTCAACAACATCCATAACTCAGTCAGCTATAAAAATTGAAAATTTTTCTCTAACGTCTTTTTGCTCACTCTTTACTTTCCTCCCTAAGTCCAATTCCTAAAATCCGCTGGAGGAAGGTGGATGGGATTTTACCACCTAAGGTCGGAGCAAGTGCAGAGGGACCCACCCTGATTATTCCTGAATTGAATTTTGATGACGAGGGCATGTATGAGTGTGAGGTTTACAACTCAGAGGGCCGTGAGACACATCAGGGACGTGTCTCTGTGCAAGGTAGGCACAACGTCAGCACTAGAATGATATTTTCTACTAGATTTTCCACTAGTTACCTTTGGTAGAAGTTTGATGTAGCATAAAACCTTGTGTTGTTATTGTTAACCAAAATTATTAAAAATTGTTAATTAGAAGAAGCTGAAATAAAATATACAATATAAATTATATAAAAAAAATTATATAAATATAAATATTACAAATAGACTAAAAACCTAACAAATTAAATGAAAATGAAATAAGTTTAAATACTAAAACAAAATAGAAATGAAAATATATATACACGCACACACACACTAATAAAAATGACAAAAACACATAACAAAATCAATAAAAATTTTAATTCAAAACTGATAATATAAAAATAAAAGCTGATTCATTATATTAATAAATAATTACACATCAATCCACTTATTAGGGAGAGAAGTAAAAATCTGCTGGTTTGTATGTGTTCTCGCTTCCCAGCCCAGCCTGAGTGGCTTCAGGTCATGAGTGACTCTGAGGTGGAAATCAGTTCGGAGCTGCAGTGGAGCTGTGCTGCTGCGTGCAAACCAAGACCCACCATTCGCTGGCTCCGTAACGGACAGCCCCTCACCACACAGGTCAGCCATATATGTGCGCACACACACTTAACTGTAGCTGGACTGTCATCTGACAATGTGTGTGTTATCAGAAATGAACAGGACCTCTAGCTGTCAAGACTCAGACTGATATATGCTAAATCATTTTTAGAAAGCTCTTCATGTCTAAGAGGCAGTGAGATGTGACAGTGAATAACCTGCTCATTATTTTTTCAGCTGCAGGTAGATTGACAAGAGAAATGTTGTGTGGACCTCTGCTGGCATTAATGTGCATGTGCATCATGTCTCTTACAATTACCTGTGTGCAGGACCGTGTGGAAGTGAATAACGGGCGACTGAGGATCAGTAATCTCGCCTTGGATGATTCCGGTATGTATCAGTGTGTAGCCGAAAACAAACACGGCGCCGTTTACTCAAACGCTGA